GAGTACCAACACCCATTTCCTCGGATGGAAGGTCCTAATAATAGACATCCACCTCACGAATACTTCATGAAATAGGCCTTGAATGTGAAAAGGCTAAATCGATAATGAAGAAATGTATGTTTTAGTTACCTTATCAGGCCCCAGGTAGCGATACATCTCACTCATGAAACTTTGGCAAAATCTCATAATCTATCAAAGTAACAATTAGTAATTATAAAACTAATTAAGTAGAGATTGAATTGAATAAGTTGAGAATTCACCTCATTATCACTTTTTGCTTTTGGATCAAAATCGCTCCCACCAGCTGCTCCTCCCAATTTGTATGGTGATAAGGCATTCTTTAAAGTCTGTAGAGAAGGATATGTCATATAAACTATAAAGTGGTCCAACACAGAAATCCTTGCTTAGATATATACATCCTTGCTCAACCAAACTCAAGACACTGTATGGTTAGTATTTTAAGTGAATACAGGTTTTCTGTCCAATCATTATATTTCCTTACAAAATGTACATTGATCACACAAGATACAGGCATGTTAGAAACATTTCAAAGATATCCTTAATATTTATTCTCCCACATTTTAATGTATATATTCTCCTTTTAAAAGAAGGAAAGAAAAGACAGACTACTATCACACAGTCCTAACAGTGACATCACATTCAATATTAAAAAAATAATAAAAAGGAAAAGGGTGGCTATACCATGGTAATGAAATGTAAAAAGTCAGTGTGTAACATATCTCCCAAATAATAGATTAAAAATCTTCTGTGCATTCTTGTGGTAGACAAATAGCAAAAGAAGCTCAAATTGCTTCCAAGTCATGGAAAAAATGTGATAGTATTAAAATAGAATAAATTGTACAGAAGTTAAGTCATTCGTCATGGGAAATAATGTAATATATGAATACCAAAATTACTCATAATACCTGTTCAAAACCAAGGAACTTGGCAACACTTAAATTCATTGATGGGTGAAAACGAATACCGCCCCTACATGGACCCATTGACTGGTTATATTGTACCCTAAAGCCCCGATTTACATGTGTGACGCCCCTATCATCCACCCAAGAAACCCTAAAAACAATCACTCTTTCAGGTTCCAACAAGCGCTCCATGATGTTAACATAACTGAAATGTGAGAATATTGGTGAGATGAATCCAGTACTATAGCCTTGTGTTTATCATTTGTGTATAAAGAAATATAAAAGAGTTAAGTATGTTTTTAGTTCTTAAACTTTGAAAAGAAATTGAAATTCATCCCTATTCGAAATTTTGATACATTTTGGTCCTCAAACTTTCAAAATGAATAGATATAGTCCTTTTTTAACTCAATTACGTTAAATTTGTGTCAAATGCATTTCATGCTACTATTTCAGTTGTTTAGACTGTTTGACACATTTCCCCCTCAATGTCTATTGGGAAACGCGTTTGGCACGGCAAAATTTTTTAACATAATTGGATTAAAAAGACTATATCCATTCATTTTTAAAGTTCCGATACCAAAATGTATCAAAGTTTCGGACATGAACAAATTTCATTTTTGCGTCAAAGTTTAGGAACTAAAAATATATTTAACCCAATATAAAATTATAGCATTTGAATAAAACACACCGACAGTTTTTTGCAATGACTCTTTCAAGGGCTTGAACTGCCTCCTGGACTGCTTGAATGAATTCAACCTCATGAGGGTCCCTTTTCAGAGTAGCTTCAAGAATTGATCCAGCCGTTTTTGACATGGCAACTTCAATTATAGAATTGTTAGACAATACTCATGAAAATAAGCATGTTTATAAGAAAGATTACTTCTAATCAATTCCATATATTCCACATGTAGATAACCAATATTTTTCAAGAAATTGATTGTCAACTGTAAAACACAAAATCTATCACACAGTACAACGGAAATGAGCTGAAATTTACCGTGGTAGTGATAACACAAATCTCGATTGTCAGGTATCAAGATTACTTCTAATCAATACCACATCATTCAGTGTGTGGATAACGAACGTATACTCATTTCAAGAAATTGATTGTCAACAGTAAAATACAAATTCTATCATTCAACAGTAGAAACGAGCTAAAATTTACCATAGTGATAATAATACAAATCTTTATTGTTAGCTAATACAAATCTTGATTGTTAGCTAATACAAATCTTGATAGTCAGATATCAAGATTACTTGTAATAAATTCCACGCATTATTTAGTGAGCAGATAACCAACATATACCCATTTCAAGAAATTGATTATGTCGACTGTAAAATGCATATTATAGCACTCAGAACAACAAAAATAAGCTGAAACTTACCATAATAACGATAATACAAATCTTGATTGTTAGATAATGCACTTTTTGATTGTCAAATATTAAGAATATTTCCAATTAATTCCATAAACTCATCTCAAGAAATTGACTAAGTCAACTGTAAATAAAAATTATATCACTCAGAAGAAAAGAAATGAGAAGAAACATACCATAATGATGATAATACAATCTTGATTGTTAGATATATATGGTAAAGATAGAAAAAAGAACTAAAATTATCTGTATCATTTACACTGAGGTCAGGGATTAAGAACCAGATCCTTTGATACAGCATTATGTGAAAGGAGGAAACAGTAAGAGAAAAGGAGGCGAACCCGAGAGAAAAATTTGAGAGTCTGAAAATGATCTATTCCGTTTCTAGTAGAAAATGAATTAACCCTATTGTCTGACTACAGCTGCAAATATACAAGGAAACTGTGTATGGTATACGGTTGCAGCTGTAGTTCAGTTGTAACAAGTTGAGCCACTAACTAAACAGTTAAACTGATCTGCTGGTTAATTCTCTTGGCTAACAGAATGAGTGTGCATATACCATGTTTTTAAGCTTATAATATACAACTCCAGGATACAGTCAGCATACAGATACATTTGCAAACACTTGAAGAGCTTACATTTCAACATAAAAAAATATAAAATTAATATTATATTATTCAGTAAGAAAAGGAGACAGCAAGCATTTGAAATTAAAAGTGTCCAGGTAAACTAAGTTTTGCAAAGCAACCATTAAACCAGTGGACGGAACAAAATAAAAATAATAATATGGTTGTATGCCACAGGAAGCATAGTAGTTCACAATAACATTCAGATCTATCTAACAGACAACACAATGCTTGCACGTCATGAACTAAAGATCATTTGAAATGTTGAATGCAGAAGTGAAGCATATTGAAACACAACTAACAAATATATTTTTTATAAAACTATGACCAGAAAAAAAAATGAATAGAGTAAGGGCACAACAGATAGTTCAAGTCAACTATTACAAAGCAGAATATACAACCATTAACATCTAAAAAGAATAAAAATATTATCTGTACATGACAGTTATTGCAGCATTCTGAGATGGCCAACCTTTTACATAAACAGGCTTGTCAACCACAATTTTATCTTTGGAGGCCATTTGAAGACGAAGAGCCTCTTTGTGAAGCAAACTATTATTGTGTTCTTCCAGGGCACTCATCTGCATGTTTCGGCTGCCCTCATTCCCATAAGGATTTCTTCTATGCTTCCGGCCATACTCCCTGCAGACAGAGCAGAAAATCCTAGGTGTCCCTTCCTTCACATCAACATAAGCCCATTTATAGGTGTCTGCCCATTCTTCTCTCCATCTTTTGACAACCTTTTTCTTCCTTTTCACCTGTTGGTTCTTGGACATATCTTGAGAATCATTACGAATTTGAGAAACCATCCCCATCTGCTTGCTCTCACCATGTTCTTCAGCAGAGGACTCCCGCATTGGTGCACCAATTAGAACACCATTACCAAATGAAGGGTCATCCTCCCCAGGTCCAATTTCCAAATCAATCTCCTCACCAAGTTCTCTCACAACCAAGTGATGTCGCTGGCTTTGCTGAATCAAAGTCATATCATCCNGGAGTTAGCAGCGACGGCAGCGGAAAGTGGCGGCGACAGCAGTGGCACACTAGGTCTGGACTGGTGCTGATTGTGGCAGAGATTTAAGAAGAAAAAACGTCTGGTCATCACTCCGGCAGGGTTGGCCATCGCTCGAGGAGACGCTTCAGATCCGCTGGTCACCGGTCGAAACTGTGACGGTGGCCGGCAGTGGCGGCGGCGGCGACGGTGGCCGGAGTTAGCAGCGACGGCAGCGGAAAGTGGCGGCGACAGCAGTGGCACACTAGGTCTGGACTGGTGCTGATTGTGGCAGAGATTTAAGAAGAAAAAACGTCTGGTCATCACTCCGGCAGGGTTGGCCATCGCTCGAGGAGACGCTTCAGATCCGCTGGTCACCGGTCGAAACTGTGACGGTGGCCGGCAGTGGCGGCGGCGGCGACGGTGGCCGGAGTTAGCAGCGACGGCAGCGGAAAGTGGCGGCGACAGCAGTGGCACACTAGGTCTGGACTGGTGCTGATTGTGGCAGAGATTTAAGAAGAAAAAACGGACTGCCCACTGAGATTTTAGGGACTGCTGGCGGCCATGGCGTCCGGCCGCCGGCAGACAGCAGAGACCACCAGAAGAGGATCAGAGAACTTGCTCTGATACCATGTTAGAAGTGGACTTTAAGCCTAACTCAACCCCACAAAACCGGCTTGTAGAGTGAGGTTTGCACTACTTATAAACTAAGAATTGGCCTTATCTCTAGTCGATGTGGGACTTCCAACACACCCCCTTCACGCCGAGGTATAGACATCTCGTGCGTGATAGTAGAAATTGGGTGGTCCGATAACGGCCCGATAGCATGTGGAATAAAAGAATAGAATGCCCACTTAGAACTCGCTAGGATAGGCTCTAACCATGGCTCTGATACCCTGTTGAATATAGTGAAAAACTATATTTGGATTAATCTCCCTTGTGTAAAATACACACATAGGGTTCTCTATTTATAATAGAAGAAATATGGGCTAAGCCCAAAATACAAATGAGAAATAATAACAAACTAACTAAAAGATAAAAGATATAATATATCTAACACTTCCAATATTTATTTATTTTCATTAATGATATTTTTTGCTGTTTGGACTTGTACGTCATTGTGCTTCAAAGGAAATAAGCTAACGACTAAAGAGATTATGAAATTACAAATATGTAGAAAATAAGGCTTAGTCTAGCATCGCAAATGTAAGATGCATATCTCTTTGTTTGCTCTATCTATTCAATTTTCTATTGGCCTTTAAGGTTTACTATATAAATGGTTTTCCAAAAAGTGCATCAAGGAACTCGGATCTGAGGGATAAGCATAGAGGGGGAAATATATAAGAAAAAAGTAAACTATTAATATTTCTACCAAATAGTTATGATTTGAGAATGTATGAATTACCTGAAAATGACCAGCTAGACGTCTATACTGTCCAAAAAGATACCCCATTTCTCGAGTACCAACACCCATTTCCTCGGATGGAAGGTCCTAATAATAGACATCCACCTCACGAATACTTCATGAAATAGGCCTTGAATGTGAAAAGGCTAAATCGATAATGAAGAAATGTATGTTTTAGTTACCTTATCAGGCCCCAGGTAGCGATACATCTCACTCATGAAACTTTGGCAAAATCTCATAATCTATCAAAGTAACAATTAGTAATTATAAAACTAATTAAGTAGAGATTGAATTGAATAAGTTGAGAATTCACCTCATTATCACTTTTTGCTTTTGGATCAAAATCGCTCCCACCAGCTGCTCCTCCCAATTTGTATGGTGATAAGGCATTCTTCAAAGTCTGTAGAGAAGGATATGTCATATAAACTATAAAGTGGTCCAACACAGAAATCCTTGCTTAGATATATACATCCTTGCTCAACCAAACTCAAGACACTGTATGGTTAGTATTTTAAGTGAATACAGGTTTTCTGTCCAATCATTATATTTCCTTACAAAATGTACATTGATCACACAAGATACAGGCATGTTAGAAACATTTCAAAGATATCCTTAATATTTATTCTCCCACATTTTAATGTATATATTCTCCTTTTAAAAGAAGGAAAGAAAAGACAGACTACTATCACACAGTCCTAACAGTGACATCACATTCAATATTAAAAAAATAATAAAAAGGAAAAGGGTGGCTATACCATGGTAATGAAATGTAAAAAGTCAGTGTGTAACATATCTCCCAAATAATAGATTAAAAATCTTCTGTGCATTCTTGTGGTAGACAAATAGCAAAAGAAGCTCAAATTGCTTCCAAGTCATGGAAAAAATGTGATAGTATTAAAATAGAATAAATTGTACAGAAGTTAAGTCATTCGTCATGGGAAATAATGTAATATATGAATACCAAAATTACTCATAATACCTGTTCAAAACCAAGGAACTTGGCAACACTTAAATTCATTGATGGGTGAAAACGAATACCGCCCCTACATGGACCCATTGACTGGTTATATTGTACCCTAAAGCCCCGATTTACATGTGTGACGCCCCTATCATCCACCCAAGAAACCCTAAAAACAATCACTCTTTCAGGTTCCAACAAGCGCTCCATGATGTTAACATAACTGAAATGTGAGAATATTGGTGAGATGAATCCAGTACTATAGCCTTGTGTTTATCATTTGTGTATAAAGAAATATAAAAGAGTTAAGTATGTTTTTATTTCTTAAACTTTGAAAAGAAATTGAAATTCATCCCTATTCGAAATTTTGATACATTTTGGTCCTCAAACTTTCAAAATGAATAGATATAGTCCTTTTTTAACTCAATTACGTTAAATTTTTGTGTCAAATGCATTTCATGCTACTATTTCAGTTGTTTAGACTGTTTGACACATTTCCCCCTCAATGTCTATTGGGAAATGCGTTTGGCACGGCAAAATTTTTTAACATAATTGGATTAAAAAGACTATATCTATTCATTTTTAAAGTTCCGATACCAAAATGTATCAAAGTTTCGGACATGAACAAATTTCATTTTTGCGTCAAAGTTTAGGAACTAAAAATATATTTAACCCAATATAAAATTATAGCATTTGAATAAAACACACCGACAGTTTTTTGCAATGACTCTTTCAAGGGCTTGAACTGCCTCCTGGACTGCTTGAATGAATTCAACCTCATGAGGGTCCCTTTTCAGAGTAGCTTCAAGAATTGATCCAGCCGTTTTTGACATGGCAACTTCAATTATAGAATTGTTAGACAATACTCATGAAAATAAGCATGTTTATAAGAAAGATTACTTCTAATCAATTCCATATATTCCACATGTAGATAACCAATATTTTTCAAGAAATTGATTGTCAACTGTAAAACACAAAATCTATCACACAGTACAACGGAAATGAGCTGAAATTTACCGTGGTAGTGATAACACAAATCTCGATTGTCAGGTATCAAGATTACTTCTAATCAATACCACATCATTCAGTGTGTGGATAACGAACGTATACTCATTTCAAGAAATTGATTGTCAACAGTAAAATACAAATTCTATCATTCAACAGTAGAAACGAGCTAAAATTTACCATAGTGATAATAATACAAATCTTTATTGTTAGCTAATACAAATCTTGATTGTTAGCTAATACAAATCTTGATAGTCAGATATCAAGATTACTTGTAATAAATTCCACGCATTATTTAGTGAGCAGATAACCAACATATACCCATTTCAAGAAATTGATTATGTCGACTGTAAAATGCATATTATAGCACTCAGAACAACAAAAATAAGCTGAAACTTACCATAATAACGATAATACAAATCTTGATTGTTAGATAATGCACTTTTTGATTGTCAAATATTAAGAATATTTCCAATTAATTCCATAAACTCATCTCAAGAAATTGACTAAGTCAACTGTAAATAAAAATTATATCACTCAGAAGAAAAGAAATGAGAAGAAACATACCATAATGATGATAATACAATCTTGATTGTTAGATATATATGGTAAAGATAGAAAAAAGAACTAAAATTATCTGTATCATTTACACTGAGGTCAGGGATTAAGAACCAGATCCTTTGATACAGCATTATGTGAAAGGAGGAAACAGTAAGAGAAAAGGAGGCGAACCCGAGAGAAAAATTTGAGAGTCTGAAAATGATCTATTCCGTTTCTAGTAGAAAATGAATTAACCCTATTGTCTGACTACAGCTGCAAATATACAAGGAAACTGTGTATGGTATACGGTTGCAGCTGTAGTTCAGTTGTAACAAGTTGAGCCACTAACTAAACAGTTAAACTGATCTGCTGGTTAATTCTCTTGGCTAACAGAATGAGTGTGCATATACCATGTTTTTAAGCTTATAATATACAACTCCAGGATACAGTCAGCATACAGATACATTTGCAAACACTTGAAGAGCTTACATTTCAACATAAAAAAATATAAAATTAATATTATATTATTCAGTAAGAAAAGGAGACAGCAAGCATTTGAAATTAAAAGTGTCCAGGTAAACTAAGTTTTGCAAAGCAACCATTAAACCAGTGGACGGAACAAAATAAAAATAATAATATGGTTGTATGCCACAGGAAGCATAGTAGTTCACAATAACATTCAGATCTATCTAACAGACAACACAATGCTTGCACGTCATGAACTAAAGATCATTTGAAATGTTGAATGCAGAAGTGAAGCATATTGAAACACAACTAACAAATATATTTTTTATAAAACTATGACCAGAAAAAAAAATGAATAGAGTAAGGGCACAACAGATAGTTCAAGTCAACTATTACAAAGCAGAATATACAACCATTAACATCTAAAAAGAATAAAAATATTATCTGTACATGACAGTTATTGCAGCATTCTGAGATGGCCAACCTTTTACATAAACAGGCTTGTCAACCACAATTTTATCTTTGGAGGCCATTTGAAGACGAAGAGCCTCTTTGTGAAGCAAACTATTATTGTGTTCTTCCAGGGCACTCATCTGCATGTTTCGGCTGCCCTCATTCCCATAAGGATTTCTTCTATGCTTCCGGCCATACTCCCTGCAGACAGAGCAGAAAATCCTAGGTGTCCCTTCCTTCACATCAACATAAGCCCATTTATAGGTGTCTGCCCATTCTTCTCTCCATCTTTTGACAACCTTTTT